ACGGACGCCAGTCTCTTTGGCTGGGGGGCTCACCTCCAGTCTCAGATGGCCCAGGGGAGATGGTCAAAGGAGGATCTGGCACACAACATAAATTGGCTGGCGTTGCGTCACTTCAAGCACAAGATGAGAGGCCAACACATACTTGTCCTCACGGACAACATTGCGGCCAAGGCGCACGTGAACCGCCAAGGGGGCACCCGATCAAGCGCTCTGATGACAGAGGCCACGCTGCTCTGTTCTTGGGCAGAAGCCAATCTGTTATCGATAAGGGCAGATCACATTTCGGGGGAGATCAACCAACAGGCAGACGCTCTCAGCAGAGCGACGGTGGATCATTCAGAATTGCGTCTGGATCCAGGCCTGTTCCTAGCCATATCTCACAGAGTGGGATACCCAGTCCTCGACTTGTTCGCCTCGGAAAAGAACTCCCAACTTCCAAGGTTTTTCTCCCTCTTTCAGTCTCCAGGGGCGGAGGGAGTGGATGCCTTACGCATCCCATGGCCCCGGGGCCTTCTTTACACTTTTCCTCCGCTTCCTATTCTTCCAGCAGTCATCCGCAAAATTCTGCGGGAGAGGGCGGAGGTCGTTCTCATAGCCCCTCATTGGCCGAGACGCCCGTGGTTTGCAGATCTCATGGGCCTATCTGTAGCCACCCCGTGGCGGATACCTCCAGACCGGATAGCACTCACTCAGGGGGCGCTCAGCCATCCCGATCCTCAATGGCTACAACTAACCGTATGGCAATTGAGCGGAGACGTTTGACTACAGAAGCTTATTCTCCGAGAGTCATTGATATCATCCCGGGCATCTAGACGTCCCTCCACGAATAGAGTTTATGACTCTACTTGGAGGGCTTTTACATCTTGGATGTCCAAGCATCAGGTACAATTCTCATCTCTCATTGTACCTCAGGTCCTGCAGTTTTTGTTGGACGGGATGGACAAAGGGCTGTCTTCTAGTACTCTTAGGAGACAGGTGGCGGCTCTAGCCACGGTTCTTTCTTGCGACGACGCTTCCTCTCTTGCTCATCACCCTATGATCCGTTCCTTTCTTAAAGGAGCAGCTAATATAAAACCTCCAACAGTTCATCGCTATCCTTCCTGGGATTTGTCAAAGGTTTTACAGGCCCTTACCAGGTCACCCTTTGAGCCTATTCGCTCATGCGATCTCAATCTGCTATCCATGAAGGTGGCCTTTCTGGTGGCAGTAACCTCTGCCAGACGCATTTCTGAATTGGCTGCTCTTTCTGTGAGGGAGGATCTTTGTTTGTTTCGCCCTGACTGTGTGATTTTACGTTTAGATCCCACATTTGTTCCTAAGGTGAATTCCATGTTTCACCGGTCTCAGGAAGTGGTGTTGCCAAGTTTTTGTCCTCGTCCATCTAGTGACTTGGATCGCAGATGGCACACTTTAGATGTTCGCAGAGCACTTCACATTTATATTAAGAGGACATCTTCTTTCCGTAGATCTGAGGCTCTCTTTGTGTCATTCGCTCCGACCTCAATGGGTTTCAAGGTCTCTTCTACCACCATTGCTAGATGGATAAAGGCTTGTATTGCTAGAGCATATCAATCCCAATCATTGGCTGTGCCGTCACGTATCACAGCTCACTCTACTCGAAGCGCGGCCACTTCTGCTGCCTGGGCTACTCAGGCGCCTATTGGCGACATCTGTCGGGCGGCGACTTGGTCGTCCCCTTCCCCATTTATCCGTCATTATAAAATAGATAGTTTTGCTTCTGCTGATGCTGCCTTTGGCCGTCGTGTATTGCAGCGGGTAGTTTCATCTCCTCCATCACGTGCCCCGTCTGTTAACCCTCNGGTGATAGAGGTCTGGAGAACAACACGCCTGACTTTGTCTGTTGCTTCGCCTCCGTCGGAACTGGGCATGTGCGGCCAGGCAGGAGGCGTGGCTATCTCAGACTTAGTCTTATTGGGTACAAGGGACTTCAGGAAACCCAATCAAGTGGATTATCCATCATCATGCTGAGAAATGGCGTTCAGGTAAGACCAACGCCCCATTGAGGGAGAACCCGATGGTCACTCTGACTAGCTTCAGAGATCCTGTATGGAGATGGGACAGAATTCCAGAAAGGCAACCATCACTGCAGCCCTCTACTGGTCTGGGCTTTTATGGCAGAGTGGCTAGTGGAAAGCCTCTCCTCAGTGCAAAACACATGAAAGCCCGCTTGAAGTTTGCAAAAAAAGCACCCGAAGGACTCTCAGATTGTGAGGAAAAAGATTCTCTAGTCTGATGAAACCAAGAGGAACTGTTGGGCCTCAGTTCTAACATTATGTCTGGAGGAAACCAAGCGCCGCTCATTACCTGCCCAATATCACCCCAACTGTGAAGCATGGTGTTTTTTTCAGCAGCAGGGATTGAGAGACTGGTCAGGGTTAAAGAAAAGCTGAATGGAGCAAAATACAGGGGTATCCTCAATAAAAACCTGTTCCATAGCTCTCAGGACCTCAAGACTGCACGGAAGGTTCACTTTCAACATGACAGCGATCCTAAGCACACAGCCAAGACAACACAGAAATCGCTTAAGGACAACTCTGTGAATGTCCTAGAGTGGACCCGCCAGAGCCCTGACTTGAACCCTGTTGAATATCTCTGGAGGGACCTGAAAATGTCTGTCTACTGATGGTCACCATCCAACCTGACTGAGCTTGAGAGGATTTGCAAGGAAGAATGGGAGAAAATCCCCAAATCCAGGTGTGCAAAGCTTGTCACGTCATACCCCAAAAGACTTGAGGCTGTAATTGCTGCCAAAGGTACTTGAACAAAGTACTGAGTGAAGGGTCTGAATACTTATGCCAATGTGATATTTCAGCTTTTTCTTTTTAATAAATTTACAGGCATTTCTAAACTTCTGTTTTCACTTTGTCGTTATAAGGTACTGAGTGTAGATTAATGAGAAAAAATGAATTTCAACAGCTGTAGAATCAGGTTACAGCATAACAAAATTGACACAAGTGAAGGGGGTCTGAATACTTTCTGAATGCACTGTAAATTTAATAAATAATATTACAGCAAAAAGTTTCTAATAAAAAAATATTTGCCTGCCACTTTGCCATCCCTGCATTTACCAGTAGATAAGAAGAAGTCAGGCAGAGAATTTGCCTTTTTAAATATTCACCGACACCAATATATGTGATTGATTCTTACACTATACTCCAATTTAATTAGAATAATTCTAAATAAGAGATTATGGAACGTAGTAAAATCTTTATCATCTATCAATTCTATTGAGACTATTTTGAATATGATTGTTCTTTAGATCAATTTTCTTTTATTAGCATTTATTAAAGAGACAAAAATAGAATTTCTTAGATCAAAAATCTGTCTTTAATCTATAATGTTTGTTTTTCATAAAGACCTATTGCAGATTAGAATTCTAGAAGTAAGTGGCTAGTCGTTTGGTTTTTCCCTTTGGTCCCCCCTTCTTCTAGTGGAGTTTCTACATATTCACTTAAAAAGAACATGACCCGGATTTAAGATAACCACATTCCAAAGTACTCTAGACATGGGGAAAAAATGATCCTATGCAATTCCCATATTCTCCACTTTATCAATGGTTGTCAACTTCATCAGAAACTAATTCTGGAGATTGTCCCCTCCCCATAATTGATGTTGATAATGCATCACACACATAATGTGATAGTACAAAAGTGTGTTTATGAGTATCTGCCAAAAGCCATATCCCAAAAAGAACCTAAAACTGAATTAATAACTACTGATTAAAATTAATTAGCTATAAAATAAAGCACCTCATTTTAACATTGGTTTTTCTCCTATATATGTCTATCTATTTCAATACAAACCATTCTATATCAGGGACACAGAAAGACTACAGTGCACAGACAAAACATTCTTTGTTCAAAAAGCAAAACAGGTAGAATGTAAATGGGATAATAAATGATTTAAAAGAAAGGGATCATTTTATTGGGAAGAAAAAGTGGTCTAATATGGTTATCAGGACAAAGAAAGGGAGAGAAGAATGAGAAACAAAATAGATTACAAAATAGATTACAATTCATAAAATGGGTAGGCTCTGTCTTCAGGAAGAATATGTCGCTCATTCTTCAGCAATGATGTGGGTGTAGTTATTTGTACTTCGTCTCATTCTTTTGCTTTAAACAATGAATGGTAATAAGAGGATCAGATTCACAGATAATTTACTGAGGAGGAACCACATATCTTCCCATTAATGCATATACAATTTTTAATATACTAACTGCACTTAGCAATGTTGTGGCCAAATATAAGGATTTGGAAAACTCAACCAAACATAAAATTAGTATGTAAAGTCGTATGATGATGGTGATGGGAATATTGTAGTAATTTGTTGCTCTACAAAAAAAATGATGAATGTTGTTTTTATAATATGCTACAGGCTTAGGATAAGAATCACAGTAATAGATTTTGTAGATCAGATTACAAATCACGTTCCATTTGCACAGCTATTTTTTTTTTCAAACAATTCTGTGCTATTTTCTTAGCTATGTACAGTGTAAACCTGGACAGAAGCAACAACAATATTTCAATATACTTTACTCCTCTGAATGTCCTGTAAAAGTGTCCAACCAGTGTGGATTGGCTGCCCTCTTGGATTGATTACATTTTATTTGCAATTTGGTGTATAGAAAGTGTATGCTGAAGATAGGTGTTGTAGATCCTCATTGATGCATTGTAGAAAAGTTACACTAAACCTCTAAGACTATCATAAAATATGTATGAGATTGATAGATTTGTGAGGGTTAGGGTTAAACAGAGAGCACACCCCACCTCCTATCACTGATGATGTTGTCTAGTTTGGTAATGAAATGTTTACAAAAAAACAACCAAGCACAGACAGCACTAAGGACCCCACAGTTCAACCCTGAGCTACAAATATTCTTTTCTATTGATAGATTTGGCTGCATGTAATTCCTTTTTAGAATTTATGAAAGTCAGTTCAGCTAACAAATTGTGACAAAATGTTTTTTCTTTTTATTAAGGGAGTAACTATTCCCAGTCAGAGGCGCTATGTATATTATTATAGCTACCTGTTAAAGAATCATCTGGATTACAGACCAGTAGCACTGCTGTTTCATAAAATGATGTTTGAAACAATTCCAATGTTCAGTGGCGGCACTTGCAGTAAGTAACATTTTAAGCAGTCATACTATGTGGAATTATATGCAATGTTTGTATATTTCTTACTAAAAATGAAATCCATATAAAGTACTATTAAATAATTCTATCTTCTCCAGTAGAATATTAAAAAGTCACTAGTTTGAGAAAATAACCTTCCGCATTCTTGGAATATATATTTCTTAGACTTTTTATCCCTCACTTTTTTTCTGGCCAGCTTTTTCCTTTACCCTCTTTCCCCTTCACCTAATTTATTTTGAGTGACCATGACAATATAGATAATATCTCCTTACTTTGATTTTTCCGTATTTTCCAGAGATAGGTGAGATTCCAGAGTTCAATTTGATTCTTCTGTAACTTTTGCCCTCACATTTTGGTTTGCCCTGCAGAATATCAGGCACAATTGATTCAGGGTGTATCATGAATGTGATCCTAACATCCTAATGCAGCATAAGGTTGTCTAAAAGAATATTGGGAATTCAGTCAGCCTATCGTGGGTTGTTCACTGCAGATGCACAGCAGCACTCGTGATAGAAATTTGTTATGCTTCTCCTGGTTGGAGATACTCATTTTAGTATGGCAAGAATACTATGTCTACAATCCTTATTTATTTAAATATAGTATAGTATAATAATACAAGACGTGACATGGCATAACATGTAATATTTATATAAAGGTTGCTTCCATCTCTCTTAAGTCACAGGCTTTTTTTAAATGCTCTAAAGATTTCACTTAATTATAGCTTGTCCTTGATTTTAGCATATGTACTGGAATAGATAATATAATAAACTTTTTAAAAACTAAAATCAATACTTAAATTGCTGTGTACAGATAGTCCTTACAATAGTTTGTTTAGTGACTGTTCAAATTTGGAACGGCACTGAAAAAAGTGACGTATGAATGTTTTTTCATACTTATGACAGTTGCAGTACTCCTGTGGTCACATGATCAGAACCAGATGCTTGGCAACTGACTTACATTTATTTTTGACGGTTGCAATGTCCTGGGGTCATGTGATCACCTTTTGTGATCTTCTCACAAGCAAAGTCAATGGGGAAGCCAGATTCATTAACAGCTGTGTTACTAACTTAACAACTGCAGTGATTCATTTAACAACTGTGGCAAAAAATGTAAAATGGGGCAAACCTCACTTAACAAATGGCTTACTTAGTAACAGAAATTTTGGGCTAATTTGAGGACTACCTGTACTTTTTTTCCGAGTAAATTTCATTTAGTTAAACTAAACTTGCTTTCAAATGAACTTAGATGCGATTTAGTTTTACTTCTTAAATTGCCAATCACATCATGGGTGAAAACTTCCTATACTTTCTACCAACTGAGGTCATTAAGATGATATTTCTCACAATTATGTGTCCTGATCACGTCTTTGACATTATAAGATGGTATAAATAACTAGGCACTACAGTCAGTTTACAGGTGATAACTATAAGTCAAATATAAAATATGATAAAACAGTTGCTTATCTGCAGTTATAAAATTATATTAAATCTGTCATTTTCTCTCAAGGGACATTTTGGCAAGAGGAAGGGCAACAGAATGAATGCTCCTAACATTTTCCTTTCTCATTGTTTTTTGCTGGCTCGCATGTACACTCTTCCACCCCTGAGCTCCATTTAATGACCTGTACTTAGAGAGCAGGGATATTTGGTTGTTACATGAGGTAGTTCATTTAACGTTTGTCCTAACTTCCAATCCTAATGGGCAGGATCGTTAAGACTACATGTATAATATCTTTCTGTAGAAGGTAAATCTCATGTCAGTTCAACTTTCATTTTGTGCTGAGTTGATGTGGAAGCAACAGGAACAGTTTGGAGTTTTTCCCGGTTGTTAATGTAGGGTTGATATAACTATAGCATAATGTAAGCAATACTAGATATTCTTGTCCTAAAGTCTTTTTAAAATGTTTTTTTTTTTGATTACTGTTACAATTCTTTTAGAACTAAGATGGTTCTTTAATCTCATTGTGTAAAAATTGTTTTATTGCACAGCTCCTCACTTTGTGGTCTACCAGCTTAAGGTAAAGATATTCACCTCCTCTTCAGGACCTACAAGACGTGAAGACAAATACATGTACTTTGAATTCCCTCAGCCGTTGCCAGTATGTGGTGATATCAAGGTGGAATTCTTCCATAAGCAAAACAAGATGTTGAAAAAGGTTTGTTTTTTTAACTTGATAACATGTTTGGTTTTTAATTCTAAGTGCTAAATTTATTCACCCTCTCTTCATTTATTTCAGGCATTTCCCTTGAATTTCAACAAATCTGAGAGGTTCATGCTTTTACTATCAGTGCTGCTGAGTTTAGGTGAAAAACAGAAGCATATGTGTAATATTTACCCACTTTCTGTTGTTTGAAATGTTTTGGAAAGCCACTAAAGGAAGACTCTTTCTGTTTTATATTTCATGAAATTTCCATGTTACAACTTTAATGTGCAGCATATGACGTTTTCCAACCTTCTTTTAGAATAAACAACTGCTGCAACATTTTAGCTTATTTACAAAATCTAAAAGGATTGCCGTTTTATAATTAGATGAATTTGAGAGAAAATACTCTTAGCTATTTGCGCCTGTATAAATGTCCAACTTTTGCAGTGGTTCTGCAAATTTTCAGCCATCAAGGTTTATGTAACAGCAGTATATAAATTGGTTTTTCATAAGTCACATTTATACATAAAGAGGTCAGTAGAATGGGACTTGCTTGAAGCGAAGTGAAAAGACGCAACCAGTCCTCTACTAGAATAAGCTGATTTTTCTTTTTCAGACTGATTCTGGAGGGGGAAGTGGCAGACCTTATGAAAATTGGTTGACTTTAGTGATCAGGTTGCATGACAGATAGTTGAATCTAGAAAAGAGTTCTAGAGTTCCCTTTGGGATCATATGCTCCTCAAAACTATTCCTGAAGGGTCAAAAGACTCTACGGAAGACAGGAGATTTCAGCAGGATGATTGGCAGAATTGCCTTCTGCTTTTGCAAAAAACCTGGATCCCAACTAAGGATAAATACCATGTGAGGTAAATCTTCCTGGCATCTGATCAGACTTTCCAGATGAGTCTTTATCTGACCATTTTCTTGTATAAAGAGGGAAACAAAATCAGATGTCACAAAGTGAATCTTGTGAAGATTGTAGGCATTTGTTCACTTACTTAGGATTCCTTCGGGAAAGGATTGAAAAAAAACGTAATTGCTGCTTTAGGACTTCTAAAAGTGTCTCTACACGTGTAGGATGCTTTTGCTAGAATAACTAGTAAAACAGTGACCGTTTTTGTTGACTGTTCCAGTAGAAATGACTCCATTAATATTTATACATAGCTCCCCCTTCATCTCAGGAAACATTTTAAAGTATCTTTTCATTTTGAACCAGGAAATATAGAGATGCATATAGAGATAACTATTCTATCTCTTCTTTCTCTAGCATCTTCTGTTTCATTGCTCTCCTTTGTATTTATTAGGTCTCTCCTCTAATTGGCCAGTCAAACTCTGTCATTGAATTATAATTGGGCTGTTTTGCTGGGATCCCCACTTTTGGGGGGGGGTGTTCCTTGAAAACACCACTTCTGAGACCTTCCAGATGTATATTGGGTGATGCAACTTTGTTATAGTCCGATTAGCATGGAATGGGTCTATCTAAACAGATGGACCTTTGTATGTAGAAAATGAAAAAAAAAACTTGAAATGGAATCTGCTGCCTTTTAGACTTTACTACAAAAAATATACACTGTTAAAGATATAAGAAATTAACGCCTTAGGTTTATGCCCTGTGATGGACATGTATCAACTTAAATTTTTAATTTAAGTAGGATAATTTTTTTAAGATATTTAGGTCTAGCTTTGTTTTAAATATTTTAATAACTGTAAACTACCCTGAGTCACTGGGAATCAAGTGGCATATAAATTTAATAAATTATTATAAACATAACAACACGGAATAACTGCTGCCAGTTCTTTAGTTGATGTTGGCCTTCATTCATATTGAGTTCTTCTCAAGAACCTAGGATGTCATAATGTATTGACATAGTATATGTGTGGACCAAAGCAATGTGGCTTTTTATAATTGACAGAAATTTTGTCAATATCCAGAATTTATCTGTCAAGGTTTTTTGTTGTAGCACCCATAAATAATAATTTATGATATATAATAAATTATTATGGTTCATCGCATCGTCAGCGGTTTATATTGGATTTGGCATTTTTTATCCACTTATTGAGTCCTTCCCAAGAACCTGGGATAGACAGATGCTGTTGTTTGATGCTGTTAAAAGGTATTGTCTCATGATACAAGGGTTCAAAGCTAAGTTGTCTTTTGTAAATGACTGATGGTGATTTTGTCAATGCCAATGATGTTCAAGTGGTGCTCCAGGTGTTTTGGGATTGCCTCCAAGGCATCTATTATTATTGGTACTATCATTGCTTTTTTTGACACAGTAATTCTATTTTTAGGCTTTAGTATTTTGTGATTTTCTTCAGTTATTTCTCTTCAGTTCTGCTTTTTCTGAGTATTGCCACATCCACTATCCAGATTTTTTTTGTCTTTCTTATCGACAATCTCGGGTGTTGTGTGGCAGGTGCTTATCTGTTTGAACTGTAACATCCCAGAGCACTTTAGCTTCTTCAGTTTCTATCACTTTGTCTATTTTGTTGTTTGCAAGCAACTGGTATTTGTTGCAGATCTTCCAATGCACCATTGTTGCTACGTTGCCATGCCAATTATTTATAGCAGTCCCCAACCTTTCCACCTTGCCGGCCTGGGGGGGAGGGCATATGAGTGGCAGGTGTGTGTGCATACAGCTCCATTTGTGCGAGTGGTACACATGCATGCGCATCACTCATGCAAGCGGCAGGCACTTGTGCGTGAAGTTCCACTTGTGTGTGCAGAGGGCGATTGCGTGCAAAGTTCCATTTGCGTGAATGGAGCTTCGCATGTGAGCATAAGCACCCTCCACTCACGCAAGTGAAGCTTCCTGCATGAGGGCAAGCACTTTCCACTCATATGAGTGGAGCATCGTGCTCATGCTTGCCCACCACTCGCACAAGTGGAGCTTCACATGTGTATGCTTGCCCATTTCTCCCATGGTCTGGTTTAGAACAGGCTGTGTCCTGGTAGTGGGCTAGGGATTGGGAGACCCTTGGTTCATAATCAGGCTATGGCATCTTTTTGTAGCAGCTAACTAGGTGACCGCTGTTTCTTTAGCTCAGGGGTCTTCAAACATGGCCCTTTTATGACCTGTGGACTTCAACTCCCAGAATTCCTCAGCCAGCGTGCGTGAAGCCCACAAGACATAAAAGGACCAAGTTTGAAGACCCCTGCTTTAGCTCTTTTGCAGAGGTGGCATTTGCTGGGTATAGCTGTCTTCCTAATTCTGGCTTGGTATGCATTTATTCTTGTGAAATGAATTAACTCCTCTCTTTTTTCAACTTTCCTGCTCTTAGCCATTGCCAAGTCTTGCTATTTGCTTGGCCTACTTTTTTTTTTTTTAATGTACTGGCTATCTAATACTTAGCCTTGTCATATCTCTTGTCTATTCTTCATTTCATTTTTTTTTCTTTTATTATTTGTTCACAACAATGTGAAGTCCCAGCTGCCAGTTCATTAGCTGGTGTTGACCTTCATATGGATTTATTATTACTAATGATGAATAGGTATTTTGCACAATATCTCTTTCATGTAATAATATGCATCTTAAAATATAAATAACTTCATTGACTTGAAAAATAGCAATTAGAGAAAAGGCATTTTGAATCAAGCAAATATATGAATTGATGGGGATAAGAAGTAGTGGGAAATTGTAAATATATTTGCTAGCTAGTATAATGTAATGCTCTACATTATTTGAGAAATGTAGAGTTGAAAAATTATAAATAACAAAAACATAAATCTATCAAACATAATAAAATTGAATAATACATAACATAATAGCGTATGCACAGTCCTTCCTCAATAAACATTAGCATTTGTTATTAATCCCTTCTACACCAGTGTTTCAAATTTGGCGACTTTAAGATATGTGGACTTCAACTCCCAGAATTTCCCAGCTAGCATGCTTCAGTTTTTGCATTTAATTGCTCCTATCAGTTTTAAAACCTAGTTATTAAACCATAAAATATTATATATGCATATATAAAAGGTTGGAGATAATTTGCAATTTCTGTACAAGCTTGAACAATTAAATATTCTCACTCTTTGCTGTTGCACATATGAGCATAGCAGAATAACATTTCTCAGTGGGGGGGAAAATCTAGTAAAGTTTGCTTTAGTAGTAAATGTCAATTTATTAGACAAATTTGTCTTGGCAAATGTCAACCTGAACTTGTAAGAGTTTTGGATCTAAGGCAAGCCCTGATTGAGAGGGTTGTAGAAAATTTAATACCTGTATACTCAAAACTAGATCATAATAGAAGACTGCTATCTTGATGGGTGAGCAGTGCAACTACCTTAGTTTTTAAATATTAAATTTTCAATCAATTTTAGAGATATTGTAATAGCTCAGTATTGTTCTTTTGCTTTATGTAACTGTTCTTGAAATGTATTTCAGTAGTATGATGGATGATGTGTACCACTCTGGAATGCCCTGGGTCAGTTATTATCAATATCATGTTTAGAAATATTAGTATCTTTTGTGTTTGCTAAGTAGAAAAGTACTACAAAAGGCAAAGAGGTAGTCCTCAACCTACGAGCACAATTGAACCCAAAATTTCTGTTGCTAAGCAAGATGGTCATTAAGCAAATTTTGCCCCATTTTATGACCTTTCTTGCCCCAGTTGTTAAGTGAATCATTGCTGTTGTTACGTTAGTAACATGGCTGTTAAGTGAATCTGGCTTCCCCATTGATTTTGCTTGTCAGAAGGTTGCAAAAGGGGATCATGTGACCCCAGGACAGTGAAACCGCCATAAATGTGAGTCAGTTGCCAGACGTCAGTTTTGATCATGTCATCATGGGGATGCTGCAAAGGTCGTAAGTGTGAAAAGTGATCATATGTCTATTTTTCAGTGCTGTTATAACTTTTGAAGAATCACTAAACGAATGGCTGTAAGTCAAGGACTACCTGTACACATTTTGAAGTTATCATTTACTTTACAGTACCGAATTGGCTGCATTTTTAAAAATTTGCTTAGCATAATTTACCCAAACTGAATAAGTTTTTAGAGGTATTAAAGCATTTCTGTGATTTGTAAGAAGAAGAAGAAAAAAAACAAGTGAAAAGTACATTGAGGATTTAATTCAGATCTTCTGCATCATTTTATTGAAATTACTATAATGGAGCAACTTTGAAAAAAAGCTCTTTGATGAGACAACATTTTTATCAGTGTTCCACTAGTGAAAGATAGACTGTTTTGCCTACTTTTAGATCACAATTTCTTAAAAAGAACACCTATAAACCTTTAATGGAAAGGCAATAGGTAAAATATTTATGCCCATTATGGTGAATTAGGGATGAAACTAGTGGAAACTGCATTCTTGCTGACTCTACCTCTCCGTAGAAGTGCTAATTCAGCTTTATGAACAATCACAGCTTTTGATAACTTCTAATAGATCTATTTAGGGCTATCAAAATACAGAAGTAAAGAAAATATTATTCCTACTTTTATCGTTATAATTGTGAAATTCTTGTGTGGTTTTATATACTACTATAGATATTTTAAATTGCTTTACTGCACACTCAGTGTAAGTTGTCATTAATCTTTGATTCCAGCAGGAATGAAGAAGGGATACACAGACAATCTTTATATTAGGTTTATTTTTGTTTGGTTTTGTTTGAGTGTTATTACAATTCTTACCTATTGGAATTGTTTCTGGAGTCTATGAAGTTTGTAAATTTCAAAGATTATAAATATCCACTCAGTGCCTGCTTTTTGTAACAGGCAAGTATCACACCTCCTAGCTCATGTTTTAATATGAGTGGGAGAAAACAAATTATCCTCAGGTTTCTGTTGCTAAGTGAGACATTTGCTAAGTGAGTTTTGCCCCATTTTACAACTTTTCTTGCCACAGTTATTAAGTTAGTAACATGGTTGTTAAGTTAATCTGGCTTCCCCATTGACTTAGCTTGTCAGAAGGGGCACAAGGTGATCACATGACCCCGGGATGCGGCAACTGTCATGAGTCGTTTGCCAAGTGTCTGAATTTTGATCATGTAATCATGAAGAGGCTGCAAAAGTCCTAAGTGTGAAAAACATTCATGAGTCACTCTTTTCAGTGTCGTCGTCACTTCAAATGGTCACTAAATGAACTGTTCAAGACAGGGACCACCTATATGACAGTTAGACAGTGAAACATCTGCAAGTAAACAACCAAGCTCAGAGAGCACAAACAATTCCAATATATGTATCTTCCGCTGCCATATCAGTATTAACCACCATTACTCCATAGTTACTTATGGCATAACTTGGTATCAGGAAAATTTAAGGAAATTAGACAGGAAACTGAGGATTGATTTAATCTTATTGTGTGATCATCAAGACACCCCAGTATATTCTTGAGTGTATAATTAGATTTAGCGTGAATCAAATATTATTCCCCTTGGTGTATTTGTAAGAGAACAGTTCATTGCCCAGGTCCATTTTAAATCAAATTTGGACAGTACAGTCTTGCTTAACTTTGCTTAGCTTGCTGTGTCTCTTGGTTAGTATGTTTCTTGTCACACATGAACACAATTAATCCCACGTTATCAGGATCAGGATATAAAGTTTGTGAATGTATTCATTATAATTATAATTCACCTTTTAATCTGTGCATGCATTGGGGGAATATTACGATCCTATTTGCCACCATGCTAGTTCTAAAATGCCAATTACATAGCAATTTCTCTCTTTGGAAATGTTGTGCATAGGTACTTCAGTTTGGTGTCAATTAGAAGGCACCTTCCATCCATCCCTAACTGATTAAATTTAAACTTTCAAATCATCAAGAAGAAAAACCTTTAATTCGATAATGACTCAGTTACTGAAGGAACAAAATCAAAATATTCAAGCCCAATAGAAGCGGGGTGGCTTAGAAGCAGAGAGTAACTGTTTGCCAGCATGGAAATAGAATGGGAAGCAGAACTGTCCTCATTGTAAAACTCTGCAGATACGTTGTGCTGATGTCTATGTTTGCACTGTTAAACCTAAGACTGTAAATAGGTGGTTATTGTGCTGTGTTATGTTAAAACAACTCCTTTTTTTACCTTTAGGACAAAATGTTTCATTTCTGGGTCAATACATTCTTCATACCAGGACTGGAAGAAAACTCTGACAAAGTAGAAAATGGAAGTCTTCTTGGAGATCAGGAACTTGATGGCATTTTGAGTACAGAGCGTTCAGATAATGACAAGGAATATTTAATCCTTACACTAACAAAAAATGATTTGGACAAGGCAAATAAGGACAAAGCAAATCGATATTTTTCTCCAAACTTTAGAGTAAGTATTTTCAAAGCAATCCAGTAATGTAACATAAACTGTGTGCAATTTATGTTATATATTGTCGTCTCTGTGATTCACACATATGGCTTATATGCCTGCACAAAGGCCTATTCAGAACTTTCTAGAACTTACAGAATTATTTTGTGTGTATTCCATCTTCCCCCATAACATTCAGCTAGGCTTAATGTCAGCTGAACCCCTTCTTTTAAACTACTGTATTAATAAGTACACTTTCTATTGAGCTAACATTCTTTCTGCTTCCTATCAGTATTATTTTTCCTTTCCTAGTTTTTCTCAGCAGACATCTTGAGTTGTGCATCAGCACACTATGACTGCTGTTTCCCAAGTTCTAATGTTGGATGGGCATAAGCTCTACTTTTTGTCTTGGTGAAGTTTGTGCAGTAGACACTGCCAGGCATTCACTAAACAGGTTTGTCACAATTGTTCTTCTCATTCATGAATTGAGGTCTATTATCAGGCTTTAAGGTTGGCAAATTTTAGAGCTATTCTGCCCTGCATTAAAGAATTATCCAGTGGTGGATAATTTCAGACAATTCCTTCCACATAGATCTTTCTCAAAAAATGTTCTGAACTTTCTGGATCAAACTACAAATAGCAAGATGCATTAAAAACCCCTCAACGTTTGAAAGGCATACCAAATCTTGTAAGGTGTGTCCATATGAGAGGATTTCCTGGTTAAGGTCACAAACTCAATGCTACACTATGTTAAAAATGTGTTTTATTTGGTAACAACTCTGCCAGTGACTTTCAAGTTCAGTGTCTGAGTTGAACACACGGGCAATGCTGGTGGGGGATGTTACGTCTGACTGGCAATATTTAGGATATCCATCTTCATCCTGGGCTCTAGTATTACCTACATGCAAGCAGCAGCATACTTAATGACCAAGTATGTTCATTGTGCTGTCTCTTTTTAAAAAATGATTAGTGCCAACAATGAAGCTTGGCTCCAAGCTTTACCAGAGTCACCAATCTTTTGGGGTATTTCCACTAGCATAATTCTGCTACTTGGCCATCTAGGCTGAACTTCAGAAGGACCACCCTTTCTTTTGTTGCGTATATCACCATTCTCCTTTCAAACAGCTTACTACTTACTCGTGTATGTGAATCACAGGTCATAGGGGGGAGTAAACTAGTTCCTCACCTGTAGCTGTACTTGTTAAGTGGTCATCTGTGAATTCAAACAGTCTTTCTTCCCTACTTAGTTTCTCAGTGTTCTTTCAGATTGGGTTTTAGGAACTGGTGGGTAGAAGGTGCATCGAGTTACAGGCAGTGGTAGAAGGGTGGAGGGGGAAATAATTCTGTGAACTCTGGAAGGCTTCAGAATAGAGCCATCCATTGACTTTACAGGTGATAACTCAAATAAAAGGAAGCAACCCATTCATAACCTTCCAGTCACTGGAGATATCCATGCTCTGTTGTTTCTGTGTGGCCACAGTCACAGGTGCATTGTCTCTCTCTGGATAGGGGATCTTCCTCTATCAACCTTCAAGGACAGTTGAGGGAAGGTCATGACATTGTGCCATCAGGCAATTAGGCACTTTGATGTTAATTAAGAAGGCCATAGGGAAGGCAAAGTAGCTGTTGGATTCACCAGCAATAAAGACTGGGGACCTAGCTAGATCCAGTTGGTGCTTTATGTTTGGTACATATCCTACATATCCCATGCTGAATAGATCTGGAGAGAAGCCCAAGGATGAGATTTTAGTTGCCACTGCCCTTTTCCATGTGGACTGAAAAATCATCCTTCATATTTAGCTTGAGCCAAATAGTTGAGAATGGTCACCTACACTTAATGGTCACCTACATTCCTTGTCAAGTGGTCTGATTTCAGAAAAGTGCCCCGCTCGACCATCATGGATTTTGATGAAATTTTGTGTGAACATGCACACATGTCCCCAATGAACATTGGTAAAGCGTTACACTTGCCGATGCAATACTTGTGGAGATATAGTCATTTGTTTGACCCCATACCGCAGCCTTCTACAGAGTCATACTGTAGGAGGCTGCGGTATGAGGTCAGACAAATGGCTATATCTCCGCAAGTATTGCATCGGTAAATGTAACATTTTACCAATGTTAATTGGGGACATGTGTGCATGTTCACACAAAATTTCATCAAAATCCGTGATGGTCGAGCAGGGACCCCCAGACCACTTGACATGGAATGACTCCTTAATATATAAATATATATTATCTATGCTGGAAAATCCATCCTGCTTGTTTTGGCATAACACGATCTTAGTTGAATTTTGTTCAGTAATGTTTTGGAAAGGAAATGATTTGGAATTCATAAGCACACATTTATGTCATGAAGGAATGTTATTTTGTTCCCTTATTTGCTGTAAAAATCCCAGTGAGCCTTTAGGCCCATTGATTGAAATACTTGTCAGAATCAAGAGGGAGAGGGGGAGAAAGGTGCATCAGTATTACTGCACACATTTTGTAAAATGTCTCCAGATTTGATTCAACTGAAGCCCAGAACAAGGAAGATATTTGGAGCTTCTATTAGCCAAATGCAGGTCCATTCTGGCCAAACCTCTGAGTTACAACATGCACAGAAAATAAATGTGCACCTCAAAATTAATGGGAATGTTTAAATCAATTCAGTCTTTCTCATAATTGATGCTGCTTTGTAGGTTTCCATTGGTTTTTGTGAAGTGTTTTGTGAAGAGAGAACATTTTAGTTTGTACTTAATTAAATATATATTTGCATTGTATCAAATATTTCATTTGCTTTTTATGGGCCAGACAGTAGCTCTTTTAAGCACATATATACTAATTTCTGTTCTCTTATTTTTTTCTAGGTGAAGCTATTTTTCACAAAAACAGTAGAAGAGCCATCAAACCCAGAAGCTAGCAGCTCAACTTCAGTAACACCAGATGTTAGTGATAATGAACCTGATCACTATAGATATTCTGACACCACTGACTCTGATCCAGAGAACGAACCTTTTGATGAAGATCAGCATACGCAGATTACTAAAGTCTGATTTTTTTTTATTTGGGAAAAAATACCACAATGAAGAAAACTTGAATAAACTGAATTATGGACCTTTTAAAATGGCAATAGGACACTGTGTCAGATTTATCTGTTGTAGGAACAGTTCTTTACCTGACCAATCTCATTTTGCCCTATTAAGCCTTTGGCTTGACACTTCTCCCATTGAAAAAAGAAAAAAAAAGGTTACGTAGCTATGTTATGTATATACCTTTTGGTGTCAAGAGGACATTGAAATTTCAATTAGGAATACACAAAAATGGCACTTTCCTATTTGATTCCAGTTTTATAAAAGTGGAGACAGATCTGATGTGTATACGTAGGAATCTTCCTTTTGTGTTCTGTCACCAACTGAAGTTCCTGTAAAGCTCTTTCTAATACACAGGTTCACATCCTGCCCCTTTCTTTGCACTTTTGTGGCAACAGATAAGTCTGCAGTTGGCTCAGAGAAGTTACTGGGTTTTACTACATTCAAATGCATGTACCATGGATAGGAGTGTGGAAGGAGAAGCTGAGAAAGGAATGTTCTGTGCTGGACCCTGGACTGTGTACCATTTCTAGCTTACATGCACCTCTTTCGCATGCTACAGTAATAAATCCTGGACATTTGAGGAATTGCCGCTGTCACTGCTTGTTTGTGCATTTTATTTTATTTTTTTAAGCATAATGGTGCTAGAAAAGGCAGCTGGAGGGGAACAGGAATGAACCTTCAATGGCATCGTAAAAGCTCTATAAATGAAGGGATAAAAATATGGTTTTACATGAAACAAACTAGATTTTCAGCTTGTACACATGACAGTTAAAAGGGATGAAGGGGTGTGCATACAGGCTCCACCCCACATCCCTGCACATTTAGCTGCCCTGCAGAATTTCACATACACCTGTAGTCACTAAGATGTAGGGAGTTGTAAGTGCTGCAAAGAATGTAGTTTACTGTTCAATGTTTAGAAAGCTTGATAAGGCTGGAGTCCTTGAGTTGCAGGTGTCTCCAGGTGAACACAACACCACCTGCAAATCTTCCTGCTGTAGGCATGGGAATGTTAGGGGTGATGCTTACCTGTGTACCCTCACCCTTGGGATAATTTGAGTGCATATGTTTGCATGTTAACAGTCTAATTGCCTGCAGAGGGCAACAATAATAATCATACCAATGTGATGGTTATCTAGCAGAGATGGGCTTACAAAATTGTTTTGTGTGTTATAATTGCCATTCCCAAGCTTTGGATGATAAATGTCAGAGCAATATTATGTCTAAAATACCAACAACAACACCCCCCTTTTGTCTTTCAAAACATGGAATTGCCATTTTGACTTTTTGTGTAAAAACTTGCTTGTTTATTGGTTAACATATTATTAATTATCCCACTCGAGTAAACAAATTTGAAATCCATTGTGCCAGTCCGTTAGCATTAATAACAAGATTGTAGTGGCAACTAGTCAAGGCAAAACTCAGGCTGAATACTGGACAAAGGAGCAAACTTGCTCCTTCAACATTCATTGGTGAATTTTGTTATCTTTCCTAATCCTGTGTGTAGTTCTGTGCCTATAATTTTATACTGATTTTAGTAGAGCTTGCATGTAGCTGCACAAAATCATAGCTTTCATCCATTATGTAAACTTTAAAACGCTAATGTTCAGGCTTCCTAAGTTGATCCAGTTCTGCAATACAGAAGATGGAGATTTGATTGGCAAGAGGCAACTTCAGAATTACCTCTGGCTTTTGTCCAGTGAACTGCGTTGAACTTGGCTTTCATACAACACTTTTGCCAGCAACATTAGCTACCTAAAAAAGTAGTGCTTTAAGAATATTTGGATGTTGACAGTGTTCAATGTCTTGTACAGTTCTGCTATTTGGCAGGGAGCTCCAGATTGGAAATTGTTGAATGGCTTTTTGCACTGTTGTTTTTCCTTTGGAGTGTGAAGGTCTGAGTAAGGGTTTTGGATTTTGAATGTGTCAGTACTGAGAAGCCTTGCTTATGTTTTTATGGTATAGTCATTGGAAAGGAAAATGTCATTATTTATATATACATATATATGTATGTATGTATAACACATATATATTATGCATACTCTCCTATAGTTAATTTCAGCTACCATCCCATAGAACATGGCAAGAATTCCTCTGACTGAAAGGTTTGAGTCCTAATTCAAACTTTATTTATAACTAATCATCATTGGCGTGAAAATGCATTCTCCTTTGGTAATTTCTTAAGTTTCTGGACTGTGTGCTTAAATTTTCAGATGTACAGTAGCTTACATGTCTAAAATTACTTGAAGGCATTTTGACAGGAGCTTACTGTTAGGCCCTGTGCCATCCCTCCTCATCTGTATTCTAACTTCCAATAGTTTGTCACAATAGTTAAAGGGCAGTTGTAAATTAGCACCAAGGGTTTTTGCTGTGGCATGGTTGCAAACTGAAGGGTCGTTTATATGCAGCACCAATTTCTTTCAGCTTTAGGGGAGGAAGAAAGGAAAGAGTAAGTTTTAGGGTGCCAGTGTACAGTTCCATGTTTAAATTCTAGCAACGTGCAATATGTTAACGATGCCTGTGGTTGCCACAAAGTGCCTCGTTTACCTTTTTTAAAATACTGTTCAGATGTGTCATGCATGCAGATGGAAGGGGTGGAACTGCGCACTAAAACGGAGGCTTTAATTGCAGTGCTTGAGTAGAACTGCCTCTTTACTCTGCCAGTTCAAAATTCTCAGTCTGTTTTCATATAGAACACACACACACACACATACACACACTTTAAAAAAGTCTATTTAAGCAGCCTTATTCTGATTCAGCCTCTTCAGATACTATTGTGCTGTGCAACAGTGGCTCTGTGTGTAATGCTATGCACACGACAAGAAAATGACATGTACAGGTTAATGTCTCATATGAATCAGATGTCCGTTTGTTATTGTGTTAACAGCCCTTTATCTTAGTGTTAAAACTCCACTTAAAACTGATTAAAGTTTCATTCTTGTCACTGTGTTGGGTGTATTAAGTCACTTTTGTGAGATGGGCGGCCATATAAATTGTTTAAATATATAAATAAAAAATAAAATAAATATATGGAAGTATATTGAATAAAATGCTTACGTTTCTATAAAGTTATGTGAGTCATAATAAGCACGTTTAAAAACATCAAATTTCAAGTTTCTTTAAAAAACAGGTTGGTGGGCTTTTGCTATTTTTTCATTGAATTTTAAAGGTAACACTTCCTTGCAATGTTTTAAAAGTTTTCCATTATGAAAGTATGAATGTGATTATAATTTTTCATGTTTGGGATCTACACCTTGATTTTGAGTGCGTTAGTGTGGGCATAACATTATGTTACAGCTTTTGCATTAAGACGGACAAGTGATACTGTACAGTGCCCCTTATGTATATTTTCACCTACAGTGCTCTCAGCTTCTTTCCTTTGAGCTAGCTGGAGCTGATGGGATCCGAAGTCCAAAACTTTTGGAGGATGTTGCTTGCATATCCCTACATTAAAAGGTTGCATGTGAAAATATGTTTTAAAAAAGATTGGTCTTTTCTTCAACTCAAAGTAACCATGGTCACAAATTTTGGAAAAAATCTGCCCGAGGTCAAGAAAAGCTAAAGAAGATAGATACTAAATAACCCATTACTCTGATTGCGTTGTAAAGCGGCTGTTTTATTTTCTTTCCAAACTAAAGCACTTAAATACAGTTTGAACATAGATCAAATGTCTTCATCTTTTTAGATCTGGATGGGTTTAATCCTACAGCATTCAAATCTTTTATCACCACTAGAAATAAGCAATTTTAATGAATAATTTTGTTCCATGCAAGAATCAAATACAAGTAGAAGTATTTTCAATGTTAATATCTCTGGAAACAGCCCAAAGTCTTTACAAGGTTAACATAAATAACATTTAACATTTTCTAGAAGCCAGTATAAGAATTTTGTTTATAACAATTGTTCAGGTTTCTTATATTTCATCTATTAAATGCATACAAGTTTGAATGTTGAGATGATCTGAATTTGTAGTATTCTTGAATGATATACCGAATTCTGCACAAAATGCTCTTTTATGCTGTACTTGTTTTCAACTATTAAAAGTCACTTCACTGTTCTTCCCCATTTTGGAAATGCAAGCACTCCTTAAATCTTACAAATTTCAACAAAGAGGAACAGGTAGTTCTCAACCTATGACCACAATTGAGCTCAAAATTTATGTTGTTAAATGAGGAATTTGTTAATTGAGTTTTACCCCATTTTATGATCTTGCCACATTTGTTAGGTGAATCACTGCAGTTGATAAGTGAGTAACAAGTAATAAGTAATAAGTGAATCCGGGTTCCCCATTGAGTTTGCTTACAAGAGGATTGCACAATTAGTGACTCCAGGACACTAAGTGTCATAAATATGAGTCAGTTGCCAGGCGTCTAAATTTTGAGCATGTGACCTTGGGGATGCTGCAACGGTTGTAAGTGTCATCGGCCATAATCTCTTTTTTCAGTGCCATTTTGTAACTTTGAATGGTCACTAAACAAACTGTTGTAAGTCAAGTACTGTGTACCACCTGCACTATGGGTTTCTGCTAGTAACTGCACCTAGCACCTGCATGTGTTTTAGCATGCTAGTCAACAATAGTTGCTTTTACAGTGAAAAGGGTATGAATATGAAATCCTACTGTACATTGGTTGTTTTTTTAAAAAATATATATGGTAAATTCAATAGGCTTGAATTATGAAATATTTTGTGGATATAGAAGATGTCTTGCTGAAAACAGTACTACTGTACATGATGAAAGCAAAACAAGCAGAAGATTAAATGAAATATTTATTGAATAGTTTACTTCAACACCAAGAGTAAGAGAAAAAAGTTTTATGTATTTTTGGATAAATTGTTAAGGAATGATTGTGGTGATGTGAGCAGTGTTTACTGGGCACATGAACGTGCTTATGCTTTTGTATGCAGACATTGCAGTTTCATGGTCTGAGAACCTAAATAATTGAGACAGGTTGGACGGATGCAACTAGGACCATGTACCTGAAAACCAGCTCCTCAAAGATGAAGGTAGTGTTTTGTCAAGGAAATGGAATGAAAAGTTGCAAGTTTTAGAAAAATGACAAAACAGAACTAGAGTACGTAAATTAATTTGGTCTAATGCTTTTTTCCTGCTTTCTAGTCAGACTTGGTTCCTGGCAACTATATGAACAGGCTCATGCAATTTCCTTGCCAACATTTTCAGAAATGCCTTGCCATTTTCTTGACCCGAAGGTGCTTTTTTCAAAAGGCAACCGGACTTTGTTTTCCCTTGAAGACATTTCCCTTCTCATCTAAGAAGCTTCTTCAATTCTGACTGGTTATTAGAAGCTTCTTGGGTGAGAAGTGAAATGTCTCCAAGGGAAAACAAAGTCCAGTTGCTTTTTCAAAAAAGCACCTTTGGGACAACCATGACCTGGATGACGGAGATTCTCCATAGACATTTGCCATTGATTTCTTCCTAGGGCTGCAAGAGAGTGATTGGTCGAAAGACACCCAGCTGACTTTCTAACCAGAAAGTCTTTTTAACTTTTCCCCACTCTCACTCCAGTTTCTTCCGCATTAGACCCAACTGGCTCTCTTGAATGCTTACTAGAGCTGAGAAAATAGATGC